TTTGCATAAGAAAATAAGGCTTTTGATAAAAGATGCCATCAGAGAGAGAAGCACATTGAATGGCATCTGAGGAAGTAAGAGTGACAATAGCTAAAAATATGCCTACTACAGCTTTTCCCTCAGTAAGAGGCCTTGGAAATAGGGAACGTGAATATAAATGACCAACAAAACAGGGGACGTGATGTGAGCAGATGGCAAATTGGAAAATGTGATACAAATGAAAACTATCTCCCAGGTTAGTGAATGACAGCCATTTCAGTATGATGCAATCAGCCCACAACATAAAAGGGTGTAATGGTTTACACCCAAGATCATTCATCCACTCTAATTACACATGTGACCTATTTGCCATTATAGAGGGCACTGAGACTGTGAAAGTACCCCAGTGGTCATATATTGACTTGAGAAAATAACTCAAAGCATTTACAAGCACTGGCCAACTGAGGAGAGTTGAGTATTAAAGAGACTTAGAATAACTCCATCCAAGGCAGTTTTAGCATCTGATGTAAGTACACTTAATGAAGTTGGGCCTGGGTGTCCCTTGAGAATGTGGAAAAAGATGGTCTAAATCATGATCTGGCAGTTTAAGAGCTGGGCTGAGCCAAATATATCACCAAGTAAAATCTCACATACAGGCCTGTTGATTAATAGTGGGCAAATTAAAGGCAATTGTTTTATCTTGAATATGGAGAGGGATAAAAAAATTTAAATCACTCAATATGAAGGGAAAAATGCAAAGGAATAGCTGCGGGACTGGGCACACCTGGTTGAATTGCTCCAATTGGTTTCATGCTGCAAATTCCACAGTAATTTCCACTTTCCTGATTTTTTGTTACAAAAATTTGGGTATTCCAAGAACTATTGTAGCATTCTAGATGCACCACCATCATCTGTTCATTAGCGAGTGTATCAGCTACAATAACCTCCTTCTGAGTTAAAGTCCATTGATCAACGTAAACAAGGTCTTCCGATATTCAAGTTATCTTGAACACAATCGAAGGTGGCAAACATGAGATCAAGTCCCTCCTGAAAGTATGAGGATGAGCAGCCTATACCAAAAGATCCATTTTAGGAATAATTGGAAGAGGTTGTTTCCTTCTTGATTGATCTTACCAAGTCTTTCAGTGGGACGGAAATCTTGTTTCAACAACTGATAAGTTATCAAAGAATTAGGACTAAGCAAATATGTCCCCACATCCTGCAATATATCAAGACAGAATAGAATGACTGGTACATGATGGGGAACATAAGGTAGAGAATACCCAGAATTTCCTTCTGCACTCCTCTAAGTTAGCAATTTAGCACTTCTACTAGGGTAAAAAATAAACAGCCCACCCCTGGATCACATTCAAGGGTTATGCCATAGACCAATTTTATTTGGTAATAATTATAAAATCGGCACCTGTGTCTAAGGCCCTTTAAATGTTTTTCATTTGATAATTCCATCTTGAGAAGATTTTGTTTAGTCTGTTGAACACAATACATATCAGAAGACCCAAAACGCTTAGGGAAGACCAGCTGAACAATATGAGAGTCTGCTTTGATTTCAATAGTCTTTTGAATAGATTCAGCCGTAACCTGGATTTTCCCCGTATAGTCAACATTGATGACACCAAGAAACACCTGGAGACATTTTAAGGCGAGATTGCTGTGGCCCAGCAGAAGACCCACTGTTCCAAAAGGCAAAGGTCCATAGACCCCACTAGGGGTAACTTGGGGTACCATTTCAGGAGATTGTATAAACCTGGATAAGAAAGTGAGATCTGAACCTCTGCTGCATTGCCACTCCCCAAATGTTAGAAATGTGTTTGGTGATGGAAGGTAGAACTGAGGAGCAATTAGGAAGAGCACCCCACAGTTTGGTGTGGCTAGGGCAGCTGCCACTGGAAATTTTCAAAACAGGATCAGCCTTTCACATCAGTTTTAAACATACACACATTTGCCCAATGATAGCCTCATCTACACCTTGTACAGACACCAGATAATGACTGTGTTGCCTCACAGGGGCAACAGGGCGAGTTTAGGAAAAAATGTATCCTGCTTCCAAAGTTTGAGTAACCCTGTTCCTTCTCCTTCTGCAGGCTGTGGGCGAATAACCTGAGGCAGGCCCCTGCACATATGACGAGCTAATGTCTGCATCAATCTTATAATCTCAGCCAGTGTAGTCCATTTTTTGGGCTCTCTGAACCTCTTTACTCCATTTATTTACACTTTCAAAGGCCAACTGTTGAACTATTAACTTGCTAGCCTCTGAATCACTTATAATCCTCCCAATAACCTGTCACAAGCATGAAATAAAATCTTAAAAAGGTTCATAATGATCCTCCTAAATGGAAGACAAACTAAGGAACACCTGACCCTTCCAAGATAGCTCCCTCAAGTCCTCATGCTATCTACTTAACCTGCTCATATACATGGAATTCAAAGGTGAGTTGATTATGTGTGACATCAAAGGCACTCTCCATTTAAAATGTCCTTTGTAATGGCAATGAGAAGCATTGTGTGTGGCCTGATTTGTGCACAATTCAAAATAATCCTTTCCACAACAAATAATCCCCTGGATTTAAACATGGTTTAGCTATTTCTTTCCAATTATTTGAGGCCACAAACTTGCTGTAGAGTTTCTATTAAACCTAGAGTAAAAGGGGCCACAGGTATTGGGAGCTTATTGTAATTCTTTTGGTGTCTTAAAGGGTACATCTTTATGAAGATGTATAACTTGTTCTCAATTATTGGGGCAAGAAGTTGATTAACAGCGTAGACATTTTGAAAACTCTTCATGGGCTCCCCTGTCTGACTGGTTTCTTTAAAATTATTTTCAAGAGAGGGAGAGAAAGCAGCTCCAGTCCTGGGGAAGAGAATGTTACACCCTGTGGTGCAGCAAACCTTCTCTGAACTGAAAAGGAAGAACTCTCTGCTTGTGGTTCAGCTAAAGTCATTATGCTTTATAAATTAGAATTTGCCATGAAATATTCCACCAATGAGGAAGGATCCTTTTGACACCACCCCCGGCAGTTTCCTACGTAATTAAACACAGTCAAAGAGTTTAAGCTCTATTGGGCGGCTGATCTTCTATCATCTTTTTTCCAATTAGATCTTGTTCATAGAATAATGGTTCCAGACCAAGCTTTTGTAGTTGTACCAATAGCCATGCAACCGTTGAATCAATCCCTAATGCAAATCCACAAATATAAAAAAAAAACATACAGGAGTCAAGAATACAATAAACAGGGGTTGGGAAACTAGCTCAGTAGGATAAATATTTGCCTGGCAAGCACAAGGGCTTGAGATCAATCCGGTTCTGCAAATAAAGTAAAGTAAAATAAAATAAAATAAAATAAAATAAAATAAAATAAAAATAAAAATAAAACAAACAATTCCATATAGATTTGTGGTGCTTGACAATCTGTTTTGCCCATGTTTAGCCCCTCATACTACCAATGCGCCTCTCTTCCTTTTGATTTTCTTAAGCTTATTATCTCTGTGGCCCTGGTGAACATATTTTACTCTTTGCCCTAAGTTTTATGCCTGATGTTGTCCATGTCAATAAACCTGTGATTAAAATTGATGCATCAATTGATTAAAATTTTAATTAAATTTTAATCAATTGATGCACTTCTCCCTCTTTTGAACACACAATGGAACTGGTTCCCACCCACTACTTCTTCTTATCTATGTCTGTGTTCAGGAGCCATATGCTGAATCCTGAACATTTCTCAACTTTCTCAAGAAAAAAATGGTGAGAAGATGGAAAAATAAAGATAGGGAGACAGAAAGCTGAGGTCATGTGGGGTGCTATCTCTGGATGAGTAGAAACCAGCATAGTGTGATTTAAGGAGGTTGATGTTCATTTCAACCATTCTGCCTAAGAGCATGGTATGCAAGCCTGAGCACTTTACACTCTCAGAGCTGGAACAACTTGTTTTCATGTCTCTCCTCAAGGGCTCTTTGTTTTATAACCTACCTTGTCTCACCTCGGGACTTGTAATCAATTTGCAGATTCAACCACTCCCTACAATCTCTCCATTCAATAAAGAATACGTATCACTCACACTAATTCTATTAAAGTAGTTTTAGGATCTACACAGTACTTAGCAATATTATTTTCCATAGATCTCCAAACTTCCTTTACCTTGTAATTGGTGCTTTGTGGCCAGTGTCATTTCTTCCTACCCAGTAAGCAAATCCATTATCCATGCTAGACATTGATATTACACATTTCATGCAAGGTTCTTCATTGGCATAAACAACAAAGCAAAGACAATTGACAGAATAAGGATCTGCCAAAAATGCACAGAACATGCACAGGAAGTCCTATTTATTTATTTATTTATTTTTCCCATAATTTTATTGAGAAACAAATAGCAATGAGACAGTTTCAAACCAAATTGGTAGGACAGTTTCAGTAATTAACACATTGCATACATTCTTCGGTGGTTAATTGCTGTACAAGATGCGGACATGATATCCTATTTACAAACACTATTAGAACAAATCCCTTTATTCATTAAGAGAATGTAACTATATATCTATTCTAACCATTTTGAATACACAGATACAAAATGGACATTGTTCTGTATCCTGTTTTTTTTTTGTTTAGTTCTGTTATTTGAATATTATAGGTGTGTTAACTCAGCAAAAAGGAAGTCCTATTTAGACCTGTGTCTGCCACCCAATTCTTCATTATACTCACATTTAGCTTGTTTCCTAGAGCAAGTAACATAGTAAATATTTTTATCAGTTGACACAAAAGTTAGGAGTAAATCCATTTAATTTGCTTCAGTAAACACTATTCATATGCTTTTGAGCAAGACCATGTGCATCAGAATTTGGCCAATCTGCTTTATTCAGATACATTATTCCCATGGAAGCTCCACATTCCACCAGCTGAAATGCCAGTTAGTCTTCTAAAGAAAGGTATCTCGTCTCTTCTTACATGCTATGTTGACTCTCAAAATGAAATGAGGAGTGAGAAACAAAAGTGCCGACAAAATATACAATTATATATTTTTGACAAGAAGGCTTTTTGCATTTCTTACCCAGTCAGACCAGAACATGAATATAGAGGAATCTTGGCTCATGACCAGAAAGGGACTGATAGTTGGAAAACACACAGAAATGAGGCCGGAAATATTCATGAACCACCAATTGAAATTAATAAAAACAGCCCTATAAATGTGAAGCATGGAGGAGATGAAGTAAAATGATACAAAGGTGCTCACCAGAAGAAAAATGCTTTTGATGGCTCTTGACACAGAGGATCTGGAGGAGACATGAGTGCTATGAATGTGCTTAACCTGCTTTTTATGTCTGTGCATCATAAAAATCATAGAGCCACTGGTCCATACTGTGATCACAATGAAGGATACCTCAGGGGATACTACTAATGCAACATACACTGAGTGCATAGTTTCCCCATAATCTACAACAGTGCAGAACCCCAAGTGTCTTATTCTTGTTATGTTTCTGCTTTCTGATTTTCCAGATATATGCAATGCACACAGAGGAAAAATGAAATTTATTCCCATGTGTAGCAACCAGCAGAGGCACATGCAGAAGCCAATATACTTTGGAACTTTTATTTTAAGATTCTTCCAACAAGAGTTCATGGGGCTGATTACGATAGTCTGGAAGACACTCAAGAGGCACGTGATACAAATTGACATAGCCCTGCCCACTCTGAGGAGATTCAAGTTAAGCTTGCAAATAAATTCACTGATTAAATGTTTCAGCCCAAAGGCTGCCATTACCTGGGAGGGTCCTTTTGAAAGAATGACTAAAGAATTAGCTATAAACAGGTGCTCAAGAATCAAATCTATGGACCTCAGTCTGCTTTGCATATGGTGAAGAAAAAAATGATAAAGCAGAGAAAAGTTTCCCAGAAGTCCAACCACAGTTTGTATCAAAAATATTATTCCGATTGCCAAATCTCTCCAGGCTATTTTTTCATTTCCCTCTAAAATTTCTTCTAAAGTATGGCGGCAATCATTTCTTTGAGCAGGATTCATTGTAGAGATTTGACTCCAAGAACTACTTTGGGGCTGTACAATTGTGGAATTGTAAAGCTTTTCAGAAGAGGAAATGGAGAGAATTTTCTGCATATTTTGTGAATTAAGCCATCACTAAGCGGGAGTCATTGTTAACCTGGTGAGAGGAAGAACTTGGAAACAACGAAATTCTAACATTTTTCAGTACAACCTAAAGCTTATCTTATCACACTAGAAAGGAACTTCAACGATGACCAAAATCATATATAACATAGATGAATTATGAATGCATTTCTAGTGCATTTATGTATTTAAGGTAAATACATAAAGCATTTTAACAAGAATTATTTGTGTTATCTAAGGAAATAAAGTTATTTCCTATAAAACACATTACTCATATGGGTCAAAGGAGAAACTATGTTAGAATGAAGGATTATTTTCATGAAAATGAAAGCATTCATTTTCAGTTATGTATAATGGAAACAATGACAGAGACATGAAAATAAGGAGCTAGAATAGGAGTAAATAGACATAGAAATTCATGTGCTTATCTTAGAGAATTGTTACAAATTATGCAAGAGTATAAAAGTTGGAATAGTATTACAGGTTGATTTTTAGGAAATAGACGCTATCCGATAATGAGTGTACTGTGCTGTATGTCCTCATTAATCAGATAAACTCAAGGAAATTAAGCAAGCAATACGACCATATGCCATCTAGAATGCTAAAATTAAATGAAAAATAACAAAGTAGGCAATAATATGGATAAACAATGAAAGTGTTGGCGTAAAATAGGAACAAATACTTCGGAAAACTGTTCAGTACCATCTATATGTTTATAATATGTCAACTTCTGTTGTAATAGTGTATGGAAAATGCAAAGCAAAATTATTGGATTCATAATGCCTATTAGCAATAAACAAAGATAACAAGAGTCACAAATGTGTAGAGACATTGGAATCCCAAACACTACCTTTGGGAATGGACAGTTTGGAAAAAAATTTTGGATATTCCAAAACACGGAGAATACTGCCAAGTGGCCCAGTAACCACATTTGGGTGTTTGTGCAAAAGACTGAAATCTGGCTTGCCAAATGATATGCACATCAAATATAAAGAGCTATATAACACACTTTTATTCCACATTTTATTCTAATAAAATGCATTTTTATTCCAGAAATAATTTCATATACCTGTTTTCTGCAAATAGAGAAGCAGTCTCTATCACCGTATTATACTCTTTCTCATAGCAAGAAGGGATGACATACATATTGAAAATTATGCGGTGGATCTGGGCGTGGGGATGCACAGCTGCCCCCTGGCTTTATCCTGAACTGAATAGTGAGACCTGAAATTACAAAAAGAGATAAAAGGAAGTAAGGGAGGGAGAGAGGGAAGGAGGGAATGAGAATGAAAGAGAGAGAAAAAAAGATAAGGAAGAAAGGAAGGAAAAAAGAAGAAAGAAAGAAAGAAAGAGAGAAAAAAAGAAAAAAAGAAAAAGAAAGAAAGAAAGAAAGAAAGAAAGAAAGAAAGAAAGAAAGAAAGAAAGAACATCAAAGGCAAAGGCAAGATGGGCTATGGATTTACAGTTAAATTCATTGTAGGTAATAAGAAGAACACGTATGTCTCAATACTACAATTCTTAGGCACATAAAATGTTATTTCTTTGTCATAGCGATAAGCTACAAATGTCCATCCACAAGTTTTAATTACACTAAAAAGTACCACAAAGAGGTGTGGATTCTAGGACTGTCACCTCCCCCTCTAGCTGAGCACCCAGTTAAGGATGTGTTTCTGTCTTTGTTCATGTTTGTTCATCACCTGTTTCCACCACAGAATATTTTATCTTCACATGAGCAATAATTCATATTTTCTTTCCTTATTGACTCTACCAATCAGGCTGAAATATAAAATGCTCACCTGTCATCTTCACTGTTCAAATGGTTGGGTACATTGTGATGCTGATGACAACCAACAGTGCGGGTAAGGGATGCAGCTAGACCCTGAGATAAAGGTTTATCAATCTGTAACCTCCCCTCCTCTGTGATTTGTAATTATCATTTGACCTGTATGGAAAATGACAGTAGAAACACGGAAAACCAAAGACATCATAACTCCTGTCTTCGTTGCTCATTAACAAACATAGTCACAACTTTCTTGTAAAAGTCTCCAAAGAAACTATTAAAGTTATTAGACAGACGTACATTCTTAATCCCTGAAGGCAGGAAAGAGCAAAAAATATTGGTGTCTCTTACATGAGAAACTGGCAGAGAATTATGTATATCTAACTTGATTCCCTGCTTTTGAATTATTTTCTTTTTCAAATTATACTTATTAGTATCTGCCCACAGTACATAATGTTCTTATCCATTACAAGCACATGTCCTTATGTACATGTGCATAACACATATAAATTCTCCTTACATATATTTTCCCTATCTATACTCTTGCCTTTCTCCATATCTCCTTGTACAAAAGACATGTCTGTTTCTTATCATTTATCTTTTATTTTACTCTTTCATTTATTTATATGATTATCTACATTTTTGGAGTCCCAAGTAAGAGAAACTGTGTGATATTTAGAATTTAAGAATAATTTATTTTACTTAACATTATGGTCCCAGACTGTATCTAATTACTCATAAATGAATCAAATTTTATCCTTCTTTATGGCTTAGTAGTAATCCATTTTGTATATATAGATTATCTTTTATTCAAACTTTCATCAGTTTTATATGTACAAAGATTGCTTGTATAGCTTAATTCTTATAAATTACTTGTACAGAGGTATATCAATAATATACTAATTTAATTCCCTGAGGTATGCTGAACTCCTGAAATTCATAGGGGTTGCATTCCTCAAGCATCCAAAAATTCTGAAAAATTGAATTTTAGATAAAATGTTAATTTTTTAAAAAAATTAAAATGCCTTTAAATGCCCACTTTTATGATTTAAACTCTAAATATGCCATGTCTCCCACAGTTGCATAATTTAATTGAATAAAAACCTATACTCACAATGCCTTAAGTTGAAGAGCATTTTTATGACGTCTTAGGGATCTTAGCACACTAAAAACAAACCTGTAAACACTCGAGATAGCTACATGCAGCAACCTGTTGTGATGCAGGAACGTTTGGGCATCTGTCTGAGAAGGTTACAGGACTGCTATCAAGCAGCAGCAAGAATTGAATAGTACTCTTGAACTGGCTACTTGCAAACTTCCAACCAAAAAAAAACCCAAAAAACCTAACTGTGCTACATTTGTGGTTTCCATAGAATTTTGAGGGTTTCTGCAAACAATTATTAGTTTCTAAGCAAAACTCCATGACTAACTAAGGCTATGAACTCTGAACAGAAACTTCATGGGCATATGCTGTATATAACAAGGTACAGTATATCTGGATATAATGGTAGCTTTCAATGTAGGCTCTTTGAGGAAATTTTATAGTGAGTTTATAGTGTCTTTATTAATAAACATATACACTAACATTGTGGAAGAGTTCTTGTTTCCGTGTATCTTCACTAGTATTTATGATTCTTCATAGCCTTATGCATTACCAACTTGGCTTGTAGTCATGTGATACCTCATATTCTGATATGAGTGAGGTGAAATCTTAATTTAATTTTATTTGCATTTATATAGTGGATAAAGTGGCTTCAAGACTTCAAGTGTATTTCATCATTTACAGTTTTATGAAGTGCTTCTTCAATCTGTTCAGTTTATCTGTTCAATAATTGGATTATCTGTTATATGGTGCTAATGTTTTTAAATTTTTTCACATATCCTAAATATTGATCTATATGGCAATAACTGCCAAGATTTCTTTTACCATTATAAAGGCTATCTTCACAATTATACTTGTTTACATTTTTTGAAGAAGTTTTTAAATTCATCCAGTTCTATTTGTTGATTGCTGCTATTTTCTTCTAAGCTTTAGGATCCTGTTCAATATCTGGATTTCAAATCTTAGAGAGATTAATTTGTTGCTCCTTATGGCTTTACTACTTTTCTGCAAGTTATAAGGCCTAGTTTTTTCCTTAAAGATTTTATTTATTTTGAGAACTGCATCAAATTTGTCTTCCACAAAATAAATTGTTGAACTAATCAAAACCAAATATGTTTATGTATCTTCAAATTGGCTTTAGGGTTAAATGAGCTCAAGCTCTAAATGAAGGAATGTGAACTTCTGACTTTGTCCCGAAAAATCTCATCAAGCCATGGGCAGAGATTACTAAGACTTCAACAGATAAATACAGGGGAGAATTCTAAGATGATGAAAATATCTTCGTCCAGGATAAGGGACAGAAACACATTGAGTATTCTGGTATTCGATTCAAGAAGTCTTTATTATACCTGTGGTTTTTGTTTCTCCTATTCTTTCTTCCAGAAGATTCAAATTTTTATATCATAATTTTGTTTCTTTTTTAATTATTTTACTGAGAAACAAATAGCAATGAGACAGTTTCAAAACCAATTAGTGAGAGCATCCAGCTCCCGAGAGACTGTGGGATCTCTGGACCAAACACAGGCACTCCACTTGAACCTGTGGAACCAAACACAGGGACCATCTCTGGATCAAAAAAGGCACTCCACTTGAACATGTGGAACCCTAGGGAACCCTGGGAAACCCTTTGGACGCCCCCACCCTCAGCCCACCAAGTGAGGGAGAACTTCTGCCATGCACTCAGGACAGCCCGGATCAAGCCCAAGCTCAGGCCCAGCAAGTGTGTGGGAGAGCTTCCAGCTCTCCCAGATCGAACTAAAGCAACCATGTGATTGAGACTCTTTGCCACACAATCGGGACCCCTTCACCCCTCCAGAGCCCAACTTCCAAGCTCACCGAGTGAGTGAGAACTTCTGCTCCACTCTCGGGATCACCCCAGATGCAGCCTAAGGCGAGGTCCTGCTAGTGTGTGGGACAGCTTCTGTGCTCCCAACAGACACTATTGGGCCAGAGGCACAACAGAGGGGCACAACTGGTTCACTGTTGTGCCACAGTGGCACAACAGGTTCACTTCCA